CGAATGATATTGATGGAATCAAAGGAGATGCAGCTACGAAAAAGAAGACAATAGCAATCTTATTAGCATCAATTGGCGTGTCAACGTACGGACTTCTTTAAAGTTTAGTTTCGCCAGCCAAACCAGAGGAAAAAACATTCGTAGAGCTTATTAAAAGTACTCAGGATCATTATAAATTGGCACCAAAGTCAATTGCGGAGAGATATAAGTTCTATAAACGAGTTCAACAGCTAGGAGAGTCAATAAATGTCTACTTTCCTGAGCTACGTTAAATAGGTGTAACATGTAAGTTCACAGATTTAAATACGCCATTAAGAGATCAACTTATTGCAGGTATTCGTTCTGGAACGGCATAAAAACGTTTATTTCTTGAGGATGACAACCTAACCTTAGATAACGCTGTCAAGATTGCTACTAGTCAAGAAGCGGCTGATAGTAGTACTCAGTTAATACGGCATAATAGTAGTCCTACTGCCATTACAAACCAAACTAATAAGTTTAAATCGTCGTCATCTAAACAACCTCAATATGCAAATAAGAACATTGCCAAAATAAAACAATGGAAGTCAACATGTTCCGGTTGCGGAGGAAAACACATGAAGAAAGATTGCCCACACATGGATGTTGTTTGTCATCGTTGTAATAAATCCGATCACTTTGCATGTTAATGTCTATCGCAGCCTAAAAGTGTTGGAGGAGAAAGGAAACATAAAACAAATCAAATTAAAAATGTCAAGCAATTATTGCATGATAGTCCTATCATGATTAACGTCCGCTTGAATGGAGTTTCGACAAATTTGGAATTAGATACTGCATCAGGTACTAGTTTTATCACATTCAATACATGGAAAAAGTTAGGCTGTCCCAAACTCTACCCGAGCAACATAAGTTTTAAAACATACACTGGGCAAAAGTTCGAGTCAAGAGGAACGTTTCTTTGCACCATTGAATACAATCAACAGACATTCATTCTCTGAAGGATCTTGTCTTTTTGGCCGCGATTTTTTAAGGAACATTCAAATGGACTAGACAGAAATTAAAAAACAATGTTCTCAGATATGTTGCATTAGCAATGAACTGTCACTGAATATGTTGTTAAAAGAATATAGTGATGTTTTTGATCAACCAAATTATCAAGGGTTTTAAAGCCAAGTTAATGCTTAAGGAAGATGCTATTCCTCGTTTCTTTAAACCATGTTCCGTTTTATTTGCATTGCAAGACAAGGTAGACAAAGAACTTGAAAAAATGGAAAAATCCGGTGTCATTAGTCGTATTGAAACATCGGAATGGGTTTCGCCATTGGTGGTAGTACTGAAGCCTAATGGAGCGGTTCGCATCACTGGAGATTTCAAGCGCACCATAAATGATCAATTGCATATTCAGCAATATCCCCTTGCAAGAGTTGATGAAATACTCGAGAAGATTTCAAACTTTTACTAAATTGGATGATCCAGATGCATTTCATCAAGTGGAAGTAGAAAAGTTATGTAAGAAGTATTTAGTCATAAATACTCATCGAGGCCTCTATAGGTATAACGTGTTACCTCAAGATATTGCATCGTCGCCGGCAATTTTTCAAGAGTTAATGGACAGAATGCTCAAAGGAATTCCGATGACAGGATCATTTGTAGATGACATAATTTCTACCGGGAAAAACGACGAAGCTCATTTGCAAAATCTCAAAATGATATTCTAACGTATGAGAGAATGGAATTTTCGTCTATCAAGAAAAAAATGCATATTTATGCAACAATCAGTCAAGTTTCTTGGACAAATTTTATGTGTAGAAGGTATCTGTACTGACCTGGAAAAGGTGGAATCAATTATATCTATGAGAGAGCCCAGAGATGTAAAGAAAGTAAAGTCCTTTTTAGGTTTAATAAACTTTTACAGTAAATTTATTAATAATTTATCACATACTCTCTCTGTGAGCCGCTGAATAGATTAACGCGTGATGGCGTTGTTTGGAATTGGAATAATCAATGTTAGGAAAGTTTCAAGAAAATAAAAAAATCCGTTTCGAGCGCCCTTGTGTTAGCTCATTATAAACAGAATGTTCCTATTGGCATAGCATGTGATGCATCATCTGTCGGCATTGGAGTAGTTTTATTTCATCATCACGAAGACGGAAGTAAACAACCGGTTTCCTTTGCCTCTAAAACATTATCATCTGCCGAACGTAATTATTCCCAAGTGGAGAAAGAAGCTCTAAGTATTGTATTCGGAGTAAAACGCTTTATTCAATATTTATATGGACATTGCTTCATACTGATCACAGATCACAATCCACTACTCGCAATATTTAGTCCAAATCGTGATCTACCGTCTCCAGCTGCAACTAGATTACACCTTTGGGCTATGTACCTATCTAGTTTTTTGTATGATATTAAGTATCGCAACACTCATCATCATAGTAATGCGGATGCATTGTCACGTCTACCACTCGATATTAACAGCCAGTAGACATTATAGTAGAAGAGGAAGTCAAAGCCATTGTAAAGGAACACACCCAATATCTTCAAGCTTAATAAAGCTGAAAATTAGTCGCGATATAACATTGTCAAGTTGTTGTACCTCTCGGTGCAACAAGATATTAATTTGAGATTCGATCCGCTCAAAGGGTTGGAACCCACGAGGAAAACGAGGAAAGTGGTCGAGGTCGTAGAACAAACACTCACTGCACCACACTTTTATTAAAATAACCCCTTTTTATTTATTATTACACTTTACAATTTCGAGTGGTTATTACCACTGATTACATTTAACCCTTTATTTAATTATTATAATTACCCGATTGAATGATTACACTTTGGTTGCTTATGTTACAATTCGAATAGTTGGTTACAATTGTCGAATTGATTTAATTAAAGAACATATTCGGGTTAAAGGCCTCGCTCGTGACTTAGACCGGTCGGCGACACTCGTTAGCGCGGATATAATATGACTCGGTTCTCGCGGCGCGCGTAACGTATCGTTACGTTTAGGTGTTTGACAAGACTCTTTCGCCGGGCCTTAGACCGCCGAATATATAGGCGTCGCGGAGTCACCGAACTGGCGGCATTCGTGCCGTGTGCAATGGGGACTTCGTCCTCTTGCATTTCGGCAGTTCGTTGGCCTGTCGAAATGCAAGATTTGCTTTTTATTGATAATTGTTCGATGTGCGTGCGGTCGTTGCTTGCATTTGATCAGTGATCGTTGTCCGCACGCGTTATGGAATTTGCAGCCTTGCATTTCCGCAAGTCGTTGCTATGCCGAAATGCAAAGGTTGCTTTGCAGTAATAATCTTGCATTTCCGCCAGCTCGTTGCTAGGCTGAAATGCGAGACTTAATTGTGGTAGCACTTGCGGGCTACAACAAAGTGTTATTCGTTTCATTAGAGGAGGTTGACCAATTAAGCAATCTCAGCAGATAAACTGAAACCCTACTTCATTCATCGAGATGAATTATTAGTAGAACAAGGAATTGTTATGTGGAGTATACGAGTCATTGGCCTGGTTTACATCGTGAAAGAATTGGTACGCTTATTAAATGTGTTTCATGCATTTACATCGCCATTTGTATCATTTGATACGCGTATCAGTTTAGTACGATACTCCTTTTGATACGCTCGTACCAAAATAATCCGACAGCGTTTATATCGTGAGTACTAAATGTTTATAGTACGAATTTTATACGAATATAGTACCTGATACGCGTATCAAGTACACGATGTAAACCAGGCCATTGTTCCTGAAGCATTGCGTCAACAAGTCTTAGAACAATTACATGAGACCCATTCTGGAATTGTTCGAATGAAGTCGTTAGCAAGAAGTCATGTATGGTGGCCAGGAATAGATAAAGACATCGAATCACTTGTAAAATCTTGCACGTCATGTGCAGTCAGTCATGACAATCCTGCCACAGCACCGCTTCATCCCTGGTCATTTCCTGAAAAATCATGGCAACGTTTATACATAGATTTAGCGGGTCCTTTTCTTAACAGTATGTGGTTAATAATTGTAGACGCTTATAGCAAATGGCCAGAAATATACAATTTGGGAAAAGACACATCGTCACTGTTATTCAGTGTATACGAGAGAGTATTGCATTATGGTATATGGAGACACTATAGTCTCTGCAACGGTCCCCAATTTGTATCAAGAGAATTCGAGGAATTCTGCAAAGGAAACGGCATTCGTCATACTAAGTCAAGTGCTTACCATCCTCGAAGTAATGGGGAAGTCGAACGATTCATTCGAACGTTCAAAAGTTGTATGAAACGAAGTAAACATGCACAAAAAGATAACTTAGAACTGTGTAATTTCTTGTTCAATTATCGGATCACAGTTCATACAACTACAGGTCTAGAATATACAAGTTTCAAATTTAAGAGAGAAGGAGATGTTGTATACAAGGCTTTAGAGGGCGCGACTGTTCGAGATATCGAGATATCGAGGCAGATAGCGATAACTAGAAGGACAGAGAATAATCTTGACACGTTGCTTAATTACTTTTTGTATTGTACAAGTTATTATTAAATATATTATGCACTTATTTCAGTAGTAATTTCAGTAGTAATCTCAGTAGTAATCCTCAAGTGTAGTTCATTTGGCGCGAAACACAACACACATGATAGTTCTGATACATTAATTCTCAATTCTATCTTTTTATTTTATTCTCCTAAACGCCTTTCAACATAAGGGTGCTAACCTATCAGAATGTATCACTTTATTCTTACATTTACTTGACTTACGAATACAATATACAACGTCACTTGCCAACTGAAAATGCAGTTTTCTCTCTATTTACACTCTATTAACAAACATTACCTGCTAGTTGGTCGAAGAAATCGTCTATACGAGGTAATAAACATTAGAAAGAAGCATAAATGATGTAAAAGAAGAATAATTATTCATTTTTATTTATTATAATAAATTTTAATTATACATAGTGTGTTCTACCTGTGATATAACTTCTAGTTCGTTATTGTATTTTCTAATGTTCAGTATTAAGAACTTTATTATGATTTCTCTTTCTTGGTGATAGTGTCCGAACGGTGCTTTTCCAGTATGTCTACATTGATATTCTCTAAAATATTTTAACATAATACATTTATTATTGAAAGATAATGCAATGGAAGTGAATATGTATGAAAATGGTTTAAATTGAAGGCCTTTAATCTTTCGTTAGTCAAATTTCTAATTTTTGTTTGAACTTCTGGTTTTGAGTTGGTTATACCAAGTTGAATTCTACCTTTAAAAACCCATGTAGTACTATTATTTAAATTCTACTAAATTAAAAGTAAAACCCATGTGGTACTATTCTAATTGAAGCGTTTGAAGGAATAAGGGCGTATCTCGAAAAACAACGAAATGAGATATTCGCGTTTAAAGTTTTATTTTATCGAAATAACAACCAGAACAGTATAAACGGGGTTTGAACCAAGATGTTTTGGATATTTTTAACATCATACAATAAAACTACACTAGTTAAACATGCCCGTTTCAACTCGATAAAAAATAGGACCCGAATAAAAAATCAATTTTATACGCCCTTTTTAGTTAAAACGGGGATACTCGGCAGAAAATTTAGAAAATAACAAATACAGACATATGAAATTGTATTTCGAACTTTATTATAAATCTTTACAGAATATTTTATCAATCTATAAGGTTTTTAAATTACAAATAATCAACAAAAACTAGAAATGACATATTTTTTAGTTTCTTAACAATCGTCGTATTTTCTTTGCATTAGCTGGATCCAAAAATGTCAAAAGACTCTCGACATCCTTAATTTTTGTTGTTTTCAGGTCAACTTTGGAAACAGGCTTAAACTCAAATTCTTGTGATAGATCCGTTTTATTTCCGTAAGAAAACATATCATAAACTGTATCATAACTTTTCGCCGCAAATATTTTTTTATTCTCATATTTCAATACTTTATACGATTGAATTTTGAATTTCAAACTCTTTTTGTTTGATTTCGGAACGGAAAGTCCTAAATTTTTGAAAACTTGTTTCCAATCTTTTATTAATAAAGCGCCATTGACAACTTTAAACGGTTCAGGATGTTTGCGACAATTTCATAAGACATGAAGGTATTCCTGCACACTTTCTACTGTACTCTTTTTCTTAAGTATTTTGCTATACTTTGCAAAGTTGCGGTTACATTGATTGAAAGAGTGACCTCGTACCGGAAATACATGTACGATTTTGATGTCCAAGATTGCGGATAACCAGACGCAAAAAGATGTAACCACACTATTTTTGTTTTGTCCGCCGCATCCATCAGAAAAAAGTATTATTTCAGTAAAATTCTCTTCTTTTGCTAGACACTTCGACAGAAAATGATATACGAAAGAACACACTGTATTTGAATCTTTTTTAGATTCATTCTCTAGAAAATAATAGAACGTGCTAGTATTGTCATTATGGTAATGAACGTTAAATATATACTGCCACAGAACTCGTTTGTAAAACTGACTGATTACATTTAATTTTGGCAATGGCAAATTTTGAGCGTAATCAAATTCCACTATTAATTTTCTTTTATTTTCTTGATTACAGAATGATATGTATTTCTGTTTTAATTTTTGATAATCATGAAAATCTTTGACGTGCAATTCATACATTGCTTTACATTGATCGTCACTATATTGTTTCAACTTGATCTTACATTCCGTACAGTAGTCACATACATCCGTTTTAGGTAAAGAGAATGAATATTTATAGGATTTAAAGAAATGATAATAACTTGTATAAGATATGTTTAAAGTTTTGCTAGTTTGTTTTTTGTAGTACTCTTTGAAATACGTGAAGAGCATTGTCACATTCAAGCATGGATTTTCAAAGAACCTTCTGTCACTTTTTTCTCTGGCATAATGCGATTTTCTTGAAGGAAATGTCTTTAAATGTTCTGCAGCTAGGTCAAAAATGTCACTTTTGATTTTTTTTGGACGATTTTCATGTTTTCCTCGAAGGTCTGTTATTAACGAACCTGAACGGATCTTTTTTTGTAACACGCGCACTCTTTTATGACTAATTTGATACATTTGCAATAAAAACTTTTTGCATACAGATATGGAAATACCTTCCACTTTAATCGTATACCTCCACGTGTCACGAATTTTTGATCTTACTGGATTCGTTGTGTGAGTTTTAGTCTTCTTCCATGACAAACAACCACTAAGATATCCATCTTGGAGTTCTTTATTACCATACTCATAGAAAGACGTGAATAAATTTTCCTGCTTCTCAACAGTAACACTCTCAAAGCATTTTCTTACGCAACATGATTCAACACATTTGAATGATTATCCGTCAATTTGTCGCGAATTTCGCGTTTCATATGGAAGCCCCGAATTTTTGAGTTTTTTAGAGTTACGACACAATGAATTCCTCCTTTTTCTTTTTTGGTTCCTAGGACTCGACATCTTATCAATACCATAAAATAATCCATACTAAAACGAAATATGTTGTTCAGTAAATGACCTACACAGGCTGTTGACATTCATATCTTATTTTTGTTGTTCAGAATTAGAATGTAAATAAAGCTTCTTACGGGTTGTTTACGTTGTTTCTACAACAACGTATTTAGAGTACGATTGAATATATTCACCTAGTTTATAAACAATTTTGGTTTTAAGGAAAAAGGGCGTTTCTCGAAATATGCCCTTTTTCCTTAAATCAATCATTCTACAGCCAATTGCAGTGATATCGCCTTCAAACTTTCACGACTTATATATATTTTGATAAGAAGATTAAAAAAATATATTTTAAGGAAAAAGAGCATTTCTCGAGATACGCCTTAAGGTAAATGTCCCAGTTTGTGACCATATAAGAAAATCGCATGAGTTAATACGAATGAAAAATACTCTAGAGTGATTAAAATTAGGAATCAATTATACCGAACTCAAGATTAATCATTTTTGTATCGAAAAACATGCTTTACTGGGGTTGTAAACATAATCTAATAAATATAAAAGAATAAATAGCAAACTATGTAAATGTAGACATTAGTGACCGCTTGATTTTAATTTTGCCCTATTTGTGACACCACGGTTAGTGACTGGTGCATTGGATCGAATGTATCACCATGTGTCATTTAGTGACCGACGCACATAATGCAATACACACGATATCCTACTAAGTGACCTAGCCAAAAGTAATAGCATTGTCGCCAAAATTTTCCTTCAAGCATACATCGAATATTTCCGTTTATTCGTCCAAAATGTAACTCATACGTGTTTAGAAACATATAGAGATGAGTATTAATTGTTATCTTTTTGAAAAAAGCAGCGAAATTTAATGTTATAGCTAGTTCTCTTGAGACAATCACAGATAGAAACATGCGTGTTTTATTGAACCGATTTGTCATATTCACTTATATATTCAAAATTACCAACCTTTTTCAGAAATCACACATAGCACAATATTTATTGACTTGTTCACTAAAACTTTATCACAAAAACTGTTTATGAACGTTTGTCTACGACAATATGACACAGCTATGATTTTGCCGTGACAAACGCCATCTCTACCAACGTGGCGACAACAACGTGCTCGATCTGCACTTAATGACGATACGGGCACCTTATTTCACATTTTCACGAGTTATCTGTTAACCAAATATCACTACATCACATATCAAAACGATGGATTATTAATTGAAAAACGTAATAAATATTGTTTTCAGAGATAAATTACTTGAAATTTCTGATTAATTACATAAAAGTCTTATAGTGGTCACAAACAGGGTCATGGTCACAAACTGGGACATTTACTTTATTCCTTCAAACGCTTCAATATTTATTTGAACTTCCGGTTTTGAGTTGGCTATACTAGTTAAATTTTACCTTTAAAAATACTACCATGAAATACTATTAATTAAATTCTACTAAATTAAAAAGTAAATCCCATTTGGTACGATCTTTATAAACTTACCTTTTTCAAAAAAAAAAGGTAAAAGAAAACGCTAAGAGTGGGTGCTGCTGGTCAAAAAACCATTTGGGCCAGTTTCACCAATGCCAAATACTTAATCGACTGTAAAACTGACTAATCACATTTACTGTTTAGTAGAACCATATCTGGAGACACGGTAGTGTCTCGGCGCTAAGCCAAGCGCGCGACACTGCCGTGCCTCCTTTACGCGAAACGGAGAATTTTTCGGGGTCAGGATGATCAGATCTCAGTAACGGCTGAACCGATCAAGTTCTACATACGCTCAATCGACAGGAAATACTTAAATTATATGATAAAAGTGCTTTCATTTTTTCTCTACGTGCCCTACGAGCGGAGATATCACGACGCAAAGTCCGGATCTGTAAATTTTCACGTTTTATATTTTTAAGATACGTCGTCATTGTCAACGTCGTCAACCAGAGAAAATGTCCATCTCGTTTTTTCGATAATAGAGGGCCTTCGACTTTATGTGTTATCTCACTCTATCTGTTGATACGTAAGGTATCCCTGTCGGGAATTCTTATAGACCTTTTTTTGTTTGATACACTTTATATTTTCTCGTACAAAATAGAAGGACTGGACTTTCAACGACGCTGCTCAACGAACATCTTCTTACGTACAAAACTCTAACTCTCTGCGCACCATACGCTGCGCACTATAACTCACTTATCGATCGATCGATCGCTTGCTCCGTCGCTCGCTCTACAATAATTTTGTAACGCTCCGCAACACTATCTATTATCTCACTCTATCTATTCTATATCTAACCAGCAGACCAGTGTTGCATTTGCATGGTGTATCATCACATATGACACGCGCGCAGTTTAACTCTTATAATTAAAAATAAAATATTATTCAATATAAAATAAAATATTTATTAATAGTATATATATATATATA